CCAGGATTTACTTTCGTGGTGGAAAGTAAATCCTGGACTTTAAAGTGAGACTTTCCCAGTCGCACTCTCGTGTCAGGCCCCCAGGTGCTGGCAGCAGCCCCTTACTGGAGGCCAGTCGACATTTCTGTGGCTCCTGCAGATTGGTGATGGAAACCAGTTCTCAAGTATCTTTGTCAACATCCTTGCTACTTTATCTGCTGGTGGTCCTGCCTGCGATGCAGTGTCTGAAATGTGGACTCGAGACTGCGCGCACCTTGTGCATTTTGTGTGCCACGTCTTCACCTCCAGGGACCTTGGTGACGTGACGGCACCGTCACAGTCTACCGTGACTCCTCCTTCCCACTCATTTACTGGAGGGATGAAATGCGGGTAGGAGTAATGACAGCAAAGGTCTCAAGATCACAGCCACCGAGGTGAAAGAATTCATCTGGCTCAAGAGGGACCTCAGAGCCTCAGAGGGTGCTAACTGACCAACATCGCTGACTCCGGCTGCAATTCCAAAAGAAAAGGACGTGACTTGAGTGGCCCTGGGTTGATCCCTGTTACCTTTCCCCCCTCAGAGAGTTGACAGGGCTCGGGGAGATGGTTCAAAGACTGAGCACATGGGGCTGGAGAGAAAGTATTGTGGGTAAGGTGCTTGCCTTGCACACCGCTGACCCAGGCTCGATCCCCAGCACTATGTCTGGTTCCCCCAAGTTCTTAAAGGAACTTAGTGGGGGGGACCCTGCCTTGAGTACCACACAAGGAGTAAGCCCTGACATCACAAGATATCCGAGAGAGGCTGTGAGTCCCGTCATGACGATGGATGATTACTTCCGAATTGATCTAAGGAAAAGCAGACAGGTGCCTGTAATGCACACAGGTAGATTCTCATCAAGGATATATTAGGTGGGAAACGTGAGCCGCTCAAAGATTATATGACTGAGCACATGCTTTGCAGCCAGGTGCCTCAGATTAGGTCCCAGATTAATGTAATCCCCGTGCACAGCTCAGAACAACCCACAAGTATCTGGGAGTAGTCGGCCCTGAGCACTGCTGGGTGTGGCCTAAAACCGAAATCAAAAATATGACAAAATCAACAAGTTGATAAAAATACAAGGGAAGAGTGCAAGAGATGGACCGAGAGAGGCTGTGAGTCCCGTCATGACGATGGATGATTACTTCCGAATTGATCTAAGGAAAAGCAGACAGGTGCCTGTAATGCACACAGGTAGATTCTCATCAAGGATATATTAGGTGGGAAACGTGAGCCGCTCAAAGATTATATGATCCTATCTTTGTCAGATACACAGGAGGTCTATTTATGGGAAGATCCACACACTATCCAAAAAACTCTGGATGCTTTTCAAGGCTTTTTGTTCCGTTTTTGTCTGGGAGCCACACCTGGAGTGCTCAGGGCTTACTCCTGGCTCTGCTCTCAGAAATCACTCCTGGCGGGCCTTGGAGACCATATGGGGTGCCGAGGACTAAACTGCTTGAGTCAGGCTCCTGCAGGGTAAGCACTACTAATACACACCGTACTCTCACTCTGGCCCTCAAGCATATATTCACTTTGATAATTTGAGGTTTATTTGTGTTTTTTGGGGGGGGATTCATACCCGGCAGTGCTCAGGTATTTATTCATTGCGAGAGATTTGAACCTGTAAGGGCAAGTGCCTTTTCTCTCTGGCCCAATAATCAGCTTTTAACAAGTGGTTCTCCTTAGGGCACCAGGGGCCAGACTTCCTTGGAGAGCACAGTCCCTTGTATCCTAGGGGGATGCGGGAGGCTTGAGCTCCACACTCCTTTGCCTCACATTGATTTCTCTTCCCTGCAGACTGCAATAAGGTTACTGATCAGTGCCTGTCCTTCTTCAAACGCTGTGGAAATATCTGTCATATTGACTTGAGGTACTGCAAGCAAGTTACCAAGGAAGGCTGTGAGCAGTTCATAGCCGAAATGTCTGTGAGTGTTCAGTTTGGACAAGTGGAAGAAAAACTGCTACAAAAACTGAGTTAGTCCAAGGACAAGTATGTAAATACGGGTTGGGGGTAGGGGAGGGTCCTGGCAAGGAGAACAAAACACTTTACAAAAACGAGGGCTTTTATTTTCAATTTGGAACTTGGAATGACAGACCATAGAACATTTCCACTTTGTAAGTGTCTGCAAGGGAAGCCATTGCACCACCTTTCCGAGCTGAGTGAGCTGGACATTTGGGAATTGTTACTGCACTGCTTTCTGGACCATTTCTAAGGCAGCCTTTACCGAGAAGACATTCCCATTGGAGAGGAGGATGGACTTTGGAGAAATTTTCCTGTTGAAGCATGAGCTTACGGAGTGTGTGGTGGTAGGGTTTGGACACCTCATTCCTTGCAACTCCAGGGTTTTTGGTGTCCCCATAAAGTGGACCACATGCCACATCTGCAGCTGTTTTGACATTTTCTGTTTGTTTGGTTTTGTTACATCTTACATTATGCAGAACTATTTTTGTATAAATTGTTTGAAAGTTATTTATGCAAGATTTGAATGCATACCAGTGTTTTTATTGTTTAGAGATTGCCAACTTTCCTGATTTTCTTGAGATAGGAGAGAACTTAACCTGTACTTCACTGACACACGTGCCCAGGTCTGGCAGAGCAGACTAAGACCTTCTGGTTAAAAGCATGTTTAACTGGAAGTGAGAGTCTGTTTTGTACGTTGAATTACATAAGCATGTTGTGGATATTTGTAAATTAGAGTCAAAGTAAGATCCTTTGCCAAGTTTTCTCTGTATAGAATTCACCTTTTTTCTCGAAATTTTAAAATTCAGACTTCAGCCTTTGTACTCAGGAGGATTTTGGCCCAGCATGAACTCTTGTACGCCACATAGGTCTAATTTATACAGCAAGTCAAGAAGTAGAATAAATGATCCAAAATAGCTTTTCTTTCCCTTTTTTTCTCTCCTTTGAAGTATGATTGGGTTCTCATTTAAGGGTTATAACATGGCTCTTTCCTAGTTGTTAGGCATTCATAAGTGCCATTGCTGTACGGTGTTGTTTTCCTAGGCCTTCCGTGGCGCGGTTTTACCTTTGTTAAATTTGTATAAACAGTTGTACAAAAAAAATGACCCTTCGACTTTGAGGGTTTCTGTTCTAGGAATGAACTAGACCTTTGATCAGAATGTCCTGAAGCAGAAGCCTCCATTTGTTGTTCTGAGGCCAAATGACCTGTATTTGTCTGTATGAGTGCGAATAGTAGTCCCTCGGCACATGCTTTTGCTGTCTTCAGAAAGTTCTGCTTACGGCTAATAAAAGGAGGTGAAGGGTCATGCCCCTATTTCGAACCGGACAGAAACCTCCTTCTGGGTCAGGTGGCTTCGCTCTCTGAAATGCCAGTGTAGTGTTTGGGTTGTGAGGGAATCCCTGGTAGTATGTGGGAACCCACATGCAGATTAACCTGGACTCATATTGAGACCAGCTGAGCTCTCAGTACCCGGTATGACAGGTATGACCGTGTCTGTTGAACTAACTTCCATTGTCACCTGGTGCTTCTGTTTTGAAGGGGGTGGGGTCCAGCTCCTCAGCCGGCCACCAAAGCCACCCACTGGGCTTGGTAGCTTTGTGCCCTTGTATCCGAAAGCCTTCAGCTGTGAGGTACTTCCACAGGTGAGAGATACAGAGGCAGTGAGTTTGGGCTTGTTTTTCATTTTTTTGGTGGGGAGGGCATGGTAAAAATGGTCTTAGATTCCTTCTAGAATCATGCTTCCTGGTAATTTAAATCCAGAGATCCTTTTTGACTGACTGGAAACATTCAATGTTGTTGTACCCAAATTAAACTTGGGGAGATACACTTAACAGAGGGAAGATTGGGGTCTAAACTAAGTGTCTATGAAAGGTGGTTTACTTTGTAAGCCTGTCCCCGAGAGTTCAAGTTTCTGTTTCCTTGACAAATCTGAGTTTTATGAACCTCCAAGTCAAATCTTTTTTTTGGGCCACATCCACTGATGCTCAGGGGTTATTCCTGGTTCAGCAGTCAGGAATTACTCCTGGTGTAGCTCAGGGGACCATATGGGATGCTGGGAATTGAACTTGGGTCAGCCACGTGCATGGCAAACGTGCTACCAGCTGTACTATTACTCCAGCCCCCTCCAAAGTCAATTCTTCATTGGAAGTTGCTTTTAGGGCAATAGTAGTTTCCAGATGAACAGTCGTCACAATCCTATACTCTTCTCTAAAACCAAGTGCTGTAGATAGTGTGTAAACCCAAGAGAAATTATACAGAAGTTAAGGCACTTGCCTCACGTATAGCCAAAACCAAGCTTGAAAAATCTAAGCGTCGAGTAGGCAACCATCTGTTCATACCATTATAAAAAGTATCTGAGTATAGCAGGAGTTCTTATGTCCCTTAACCCCTAAAGGAATTGGATAGGTTGGTTTTCTTCAGTTATCAAAGTTTTTGCCCTAAGTATCGGGCAGACTATCTGTCTTCACTAAAGTCATGGCTATTTCCATGACCTTTTCATATACACTCATTGCCACCAATTGGTCTCAAGTTCTGATGTATCACTTTAAACTGACATCTTACTTTGCAGTTCAGGGACTGAACCTAAGGCCATACACACACAAGGCGTGCGTACTCTATTAGCTGAACTACATCCCAGCATTTTGCTTTTGGGCCACACCCAGGAATTATTAATTATAGTGCTCAGGAATTACTCCTGGTGGTGCTTGGATGACCACATGGATGCTGGGTCAGGCATGTGCAAGGCAAGTACCCTATCCACTGGACTCTCTCTCCCAACCTTGAAACAAAGAATTTTAGACTGGTTCTTTAATCTCTCCTAAGTCACTACAGAAAGCTGAAGCATCTCCTTAACGTAGCACTCAGTCATGGTAAGTAGATTACTAGTAACCATGCAGAGGTAATCTGCAACAGCATCGTTGTGAAGAAGGGGGCACAGACGTCCATTTGTCCTGTACCCAAGTAAAATAGGGACTGGGACAACATAAACAACAGCATTTAAAATCTATTTTTATTCCTAAAGTCCAAATTAGCTAGCGGGTAGCACTGAAAATACACTTTCACTATACAAAACAGTACACACACTTCTAATGAAAGAAGCTAGATGCAGCCCTTGCTATAAAAAGCTGTAACTGAACAGAAACTAACATACTTAGTCTAAGGCCCTGGCAGTTAACTACAGAATGTCAGTTGTTCCCATTTAAATTTAAAAGCAGAAATAGCAACAATGTGGAAACTTACATTCATCAAATAGTAGCATTTAAAATATACATGACTAATAAAGTGAATTTTGAGAGGAGCCACTTCTGAGGCCTGAACCACAGTGGCCATTTGTGGACAGTGATCTCATCCAAAGGGAACGGAATAAAGGTCCTCCTCAGAGCACTACCCGGTGCCCTAAGCAGTTGGACTTCAGCAAGGAGGAATTCAGCAAGTAGTGATTGTGGACATGGGATGGAGCCGGAAGAACCTGGGAAAAAGGCCTGTCTCTCTGCTTTATGGTGTGGACCAGTGTTGCCACAACTTAAGACGAATCTTTGTCTCCAGTTAGTAGTGAAAATAATTTTTAAAAATAATCAGTTTTTGAACAATAACTTTCCAGTTCCTTCTGTGCACTGAAATGTCTGGGCTTGGGATCGGGGCCAGAGCGCACCTCAGGACTTGAACACGTGCACAGCACGCACCACGTACTGCCGGCAGATAGGACACTCACTCATGCGCTTGCCACACTTGGTGCAGGTAACCATGTGGCCACATTCCAGCAAGACACAGTCGATGACAGCATCCATGCAGATGCGGCACAGGCTATCGTCCTCCTCGTCCTGCAGCTGTAGTCGTTCGCCATCTGAAAAGCAACAGAGAAGGGGCTGTGTGCGCGGCCACCAGACAGGCTGTGCACGCGGCCACCAGACAGGCTGTGCACCCGTCTCCCGAGTGACACCGCCCACCTGGTGGTACCAGCATGGGGGGAAAAAAGCCCACCTTCCTTGCACTTCGGTTCCAACAGTAGAAATGGCACTAGTTTTGCGAAGGATGAGGTGCTTAGAGCTTAAGAGCAGCTTATGAACTACCACCATGTTATTCCACTTTATGAAAATACACATGCAAAAGCTTTGTCGTAAAATGTTTAAACAAAATGATTAAGTCTTCAGTTGTCCCACACCTGTTGTGTGTGTGGCCTTACTGAATGCGCCAAGGAGCCCATCGAGGAAGGCACATCCCAAGCCTTGGGTCTTCTGTCCCTAGCCATGCTGGTACTGCTGGGGTCAGTCTACATGGAAGAATCTCCCTCTGGGACTGACTTAGGTTCTGAGAAAATTCAGCCTCTAGAGAAGATTGCTTATTCGGAGTCATGTTGAACTCAACCTGAGGGTTGGTCATAGAATTCTCCATACTGAGGTTTTCCTTTCTATATAGGGATCGGTAGGTTTCATTGATCTCTGTGGGCATGGCTAAGGGGGGAAAAGTTTAAACTTAAGAAGGGCTAGTGGGGTCCGGAGCAATAGCATAGCGGGTAGGGCATTTGCCTTGCACGCAGCCGACCTGGGTTCGATCCCCAGCATCCATATGGTCCCCCAAGCACCGCCAGGAATTAAAAAAAAAAAAGGGGGCTAGTAGTTTGTGCATTTCAGAAAAACTGGTATAAAAGATTTCTATAACCTGCAGTCTTTTTTTTTTTTTTTAAATAAAACACCATGAGGTACAGTTGTAGACTTACAAATTTTTGTGCTTGGGTTTCATTTATACAGTGATCTAGTATCCATCCCTCCACCAGTGCCCATTCTCCATCACCAATGATCCCAGTATTCCTCCTACCCCCCACCCTCATCCCCCATCCCACCCCGCATCTACAACTTGTGGTCTTAGTTCATGGATGGCTCTGTAGAGTGAAAGTCTGAGCCTTTGTCTCCGGTCCTACATGGACAAGTCCTTTCTTAGACAAATTCTAAGCTTAATGCAGTGAGGATCTGAGTTTGTCAGGGCGATATTTGGAAAGTTTATTGGGGTGAGTCTTGGTCAAGTGGCCGAAGGCAATCGAATTTGGAAAATTTCAATTGTATTCAAAATATGCATGCACACACTTAGAGACTGAAACAAGATGATCTTTAAGCACTGAGTTGAGAAAATTACTCTTAATAATTGCTCGTCTTGTGGCCTCAACAAAAAACGCAGGGTAAACCATCATGAACACAGTTGGCATTTACACTGACTGAAGTAAACTCAATCCCCACCTTATTACGAAGATGCCAGTCATAGCCTGGTACCTGTGAAGCCTCAGCATATTCCTGTGTCTACTACTGTGGCTACATTTCAGAAACAGGTGTGCCAAAAAGATGATACAAAGGTCAGGGCACTTGCCTTGCATGTATCTGACCTGGGCTTGATCTCCAGCACCATTGGATCCCCTGAGCACAGCTAGGTATGGCCCAACAAAAAAATACTTCTGCTTATATGAATCTCTTTGGGGTATAAATCTATTAGATCAAATAAATTCCATCATAACTAGTTTCATATACAAAACGATCTCAAGTTATGGAAAGCTTAAGTCTAGATAAGAATAAAACATTTGGGGCGAAGTGATAGTAGAGTGGGTTGGGCTTTTGTCTTGCACTAGGCCAACCTGGGTTCGAACACCCTTAGTTTACTCTAAGCATGCTGAGTGGTCCCAAACCAAAAAAGCAACAAAAAAACCCATACCATCTTAATGCAGCTGGATTTGTTCCCCAACCCCCGCCCCCCGTCTATCAGTGCCTTTTCTACTTCAAAAAAAAAAAAAACAAGTTCCTAATCTCAGCTTTTGAAGACTTATACAGAAACCTACTACTAGATGCTATAAACTACTTTATGTCTTGGTTCAAGGGGATTTTTCCCCCTACTCTTAACTCAGTTGAAGTTTTTTAAATCCTAGGTATATGCCTGCAGATGATTTAATGAGAAATCACATTTTTGTAGAGACAGGGAATTTCCTTTGGGGGGAGGGTATCTAAAAAATTATGGCAAGAAAAGCCAGAGTGAAAAAATGATCATCTGACTTTGGCAGTGGTCTCAGAACCAACATCATTATCAAGATAACTTGGTACTTAACAAATCTACAAATCTAACAATCAGATTCATATTCACACTTGAAAAAAGGACAGGTTGGGGGCTGGAGCTATGATAGCACAGCGGGTAGGGCGTTTGCCTTGCATGCGGCCGACCCAGGTTCGATTCCCAATATCCCATATGGTCCCCTGAGCACCGCCAGGAGTAACTCCTGAGTGCAGAGCCAGGAGTAACTAACCCCTGTGCATGTGTGACCCAAAAAGAAAAAAATAAAGGAAAAAAGGACAGGTTTCCAAATAACAAAATTTTAAATAATTCTGTTAAAAAGTCTAGTGTTTCAAAGCTTAAGGACTGATACTAATGGGGGGTGGAGGAGAGAGAAACATACAGGACTTCTGGTTTTCTTCGTTCTCTTTGTACAGCCGGTTCACTTTCTCTACCAGTTCCCATTTTTCGCAGCAGCCAGAATAATTGACAAAGTTCCGAGCCAGGATTTCCTTCAGCTGGCGCACACTCATCCCTTCCACGTCCTCAAGGCTTGACAGGTCAGACAGCGAAGCTCTCACTCGCTTTTTAGAGAGGCCAGGTGTCTGAAAACAGATCTTGCATTACCGAATGATCCTGCAAACGCCGACCTCTAGGGCAAAGCAAAACATGCTCCCCTCACCCTCCAGTCATCACCGTTCATGGGTATTTCCTCCAGTTCTCATCCTTAGGAAGCATTTATTCTGCCTTGCATTTGAACCAGAAGAAACATCCTGTACTAATCTAAATTCTGCATAGGCAGCACAGACACACTTGGCTGAACTGGCTAACATGGGCAAGATACACATGCTTCACATGTCAGAGAATCCAAATTTTATAAATCTTACCCTCTCCTCCAAGTTTTCATCATCATCGTCGTCGTCGTCATCATCGTCAACATCATCTTCTGTGTTTGCTGAAGCGATTTCACTTTGTACCTATACACATTATGGATCTGCTAAGGTCAGGAATTACGCTAGGATGCATCAACCCATAATTATCATTAGAGCATGGACTGACCCGAAGGAGGACAAGTAACCCCTGGCAGACTCCGTGTCTATGGACCCTGCTCTTGTCCTTCCCAATGAGTTAAGACACCTTAATATCATTTACCTTTACACTTAGAGTTTACCGTCCATAAATTTATCTCAAAACTCAAATTCCTGTGTTTGTGTAAACTTGTAAAATATTACAAGAGTATTAACTTAAGGAAAATGTCATCAGCGAATGCTCAAGGACATATAAATGACACCATGACATTAAAAAATTGTAAATGACTGCTCTGACGTGGAACCTCTAAGCTACAGAAACTAAAGCTCTTAGTAAGGTCAGCCAAAGTGTTAGGGACATTTCAAAGAATTCAGATCTACATGACACTGAGATACTCAAATTCTACAGAATTTGCTTTCTTGACTTCACTGATTGCTTTTAGAAATCCCTCAACAGAGCTAGAGAGAGTATGGTGGGTTAGGTGCATGTGGCTAACCCAGGTTTTCATCGCCATGTAGCATATGGGTCTCCTAAGCACCACCAGGAGTGATGTGAATACAGCCAGATATGACCTCCCTCACCGACCACCAAAAAACAACAGAAATTTCTCCACACATTCAGAGGTAATGACCAGAAATCCCTTAAATTTGGACTATTTATCTTGCGTGTATCTTTCACTCAGTAACTGTATTCTGACTATTGTATCCAAAGTCCTCCCTTTCCTAAGTGGCGTCACGTATCTCCAAAGTGGAACAAAAGTCAGATGTGTCTTTAAAATCACAGCTGGCATCTTTTGTGTTTGCGTCATAATTAGAACTCTAATTTGGGAAAATCCTAAAGCTCAAAGTTTGGACTTTGCTTCTGTTTTTGGGTCACACCTATTGGTTTGGGCAGGGAGAACAAGTAGAGCTAAGAACTGAGCTTAGGCTCCTGCATGCAAATCATGTGTGCTCAAACACTTTCAGCTGTACTCCCATGCCCCCAAAGTTGACTTTTCATTTGTCTTTCTCTGTGTGTGTGTCGCCCAGCCATGCCCAAGGCTTCTGGCACAGCGGCCCAGGAGATAATATGCTGTACCAGGGATCGAACCAGGGTCAACAGGTTGCAAGGCAAATGCTTTAACTCATGTACTATCTCACCAGCCCAGCTTAAGACTTTATAATGATTGCTTGGAAGAAAATTAGAACAAATTTCTCTTTCTTTTGTTTTTGTTTAACTGGTAGGTGGTACTCAGGGCTTACTCCCAGGGCTTTGCACTCAGGAATCATTCCTGGCAGGCGTAGGGGACCAAATGGGATACCAAGAATCAAACCCAAGTCAGATCAGCCACATGCAAGGCAAGCGCAGCCCTCCATTCCCTCTATTTTTCAATAATTCCTTCGTGGTAGAAAGCTAAATGTTAGAGAACTGATCAAAATGCTTCTTTCAGTATTTTAGGATCATTCATATACATATAATTAATATTAAGCCACTACACATTTTACACATTTCACTGAAATGATATTCTGCACTGGTATTTCTATGAAATTACGGAATAACCACATTTCTCTGATAATTTCAGACGGCTGTTTCCCATTATTTAAATCAGAATAATTTTCCTATAATGCTGAGGATTAGGTTAACTTGGATTACTGTTTCCATGGTTACTGATACTTAAATAGCCTGTAAACATTTTATTTTTTGGGCCACACCCAGTCGTGCCCAAGGCTTACTCCTGGCTCTGCACTTGGGTCAGTACTGGCAGGGTTGGGAGATCATATGGGATGCTGGAGATTGAACCGTTAGCCACATGCAAGGCAAATGCCCTACCTGCTGTACTGTGGTTCCAGCTGCAGTTTGTGAACATTCATACATAACTGGGGTTAAGAAGCTGAAGTGTGGGACTGGAGTGATAGTACAGCAAGTAGAGCTATTGCCTTGCATTCGGCAGAAATGGATTCAAGGTCCCCTGAGCGTGCTACGAGTAAGCCCTGAGCACTGCTGGGTATGGCCCAAAACCAAAACAAAAAACACAAGTGTACTGAGATCCTTCAGACAAATGACCTTGGGGCCACCCAGCACATAAAGCACTGACAAATCAGGAGAAGCTGCAGTCTACTGCAAGGAGGCAACAAGCCTTGAAAGCTGCACTGTATGTGCCCAGATTAGCCATTCACATCTTGAAGAATTAAGTCCTCATACCTGTGCCAACGTTCCAGATCCGAAGGTCCGGTCTCCACCCATTAGCTCTCCCTGAAATGAAGACAAGGTAGCCGAGGGTGCTGTATAGTTTGAAAAGAACGAATGTGTAAAAAAGCTAGAAGTCTGCGACCTGGAGGAATTGAGACTGCTTGTGTCCATGTCGTCCTCTGCCCCTAGCCCGTGATGGCACAGTACCAGATCGACCAAGTCTTCTTTTTCTCGACAGGTATCAATTGGGATGTTTCTGAGAATGAGATACTGCCGTAGATCCTTGACTTTCAGTCGCATTAACTGAGGGCGCTGAAAGGACGTCTCCTGTAGTAAGTGACAAGTGGAACATCTACGGAGATTTTCTTGTAAGACTGAACAAACGGAGCAAAAATCCTTCTTGCAGTCACAACATACGTGCTGAAGAAACAGAAAAGAAGCACTGCTAGATAGAAGCCATAGCGAAAGCACCAATTTTCTTGTTGCCGTTCTATTATGAAATTTTGTTATGGTTCTTGCAAGGTCCTCTGTGACACTATGTCTTGTCACAGGTGTTTTATGTTCTAAAAACCATGGGATCAAAATAGTTACTGCCAAGGCAGTTTAGATTCACAAGTTCACAGTCCTTTAAGTAAAACACACACTCTTATGTTAGTGAATTAAAACCTTTCCACCCCCTGGTACAAACATGTAATTAGCAGAACTAAGCTGACTTGAACCACACGGAGCAGAAAACACACACTCTCTTGCTCCTTTCCTATGCGAACAGTATCACCCGTTTAAAGTGGGCAGCATAGCAGAAAGAGAAGGTGTCTTTCCTGAGGCCAGCTCCGCAGCCCACCGGCAGTGATCTATGCTCGGCGGTGCTTCTCAACCACTCTCCCTCCAAGGCCCCTTCCGATCTTGTTTCTTTCCTGTGCCCCTCACCCTGTCCACCAGTTGGTCCCCAGGTCATGTGCCATGCTCCTTCATGGATGCAATTTCCACCTGTAGCCCCCTTGGAAAATCTTGGGGGGCCCCCAGCTGAGAAATGCTCTACAGAGACTGGAAGCCATGCCACTATCTAAATTTATAAGAAGAAACACTTAAAAGATGTGGTCATTTCTGCTTGTTGCACTGTTATCACAAGCTAATGCTTGTTCCTTGAAGTATTTTAAAAGAGCAAATTTATGATTAAGGCCTATGAGAAGACTAGATGATAATTTGTAGAATGACTTTGTCTTGAAGAACCCTTGAATGCAAGTGTTTTATGCTGAATCACAAACAGCAGTTATACTCATCTCTTAAGAATATGGATGGGCATACGGTTTTGAAGCTTGACACCGGATTAGAATAAAACATCTCTTAACAAAATTATAGACTGAATCAGAAGCATGATCAGGAAGAATCAAAGTACAAAATGTTCAGTCACTCGATGATGCCTAGTAATGTCTAGTCAGAAAATGTTTTATTTACTTAGGGTGTGAGGGAACTGCTTCCCAAGCAGTGCCTAGGGTTTCCAGGGGCCAATCATGACAAAACCTGGCTAATAATTCAATGCTTTGTTAGAACCCAAGGGCACACACATGCGAAGCATGCACTCTAATCTCTACCTGTTATCCTTTTGTATGTAACATTTCATTCAACTTACCTTCTTTCTAAAGACGGAAAATGAAAGTCCACAGGCTTTGCAAACTATATTAGGCCCTTCTGTAGGTGCTGGTGGGTATGCGGAAAAATCAGAGTTTGGTGTAAATCTGAAGGGCCCAGTGCCTCCTGCAAATCCTGACTGCTGGCCCCTGACAGCTCCGGTTCCCATGACTTCATTCAGCAGCCCACAGCATGAAGCCCACATAGATGTAGCGCCCGCCTGAAGAGAAACACAAGTAAGGACCACACAGTTATAGCCAAAGTGGAACCCAGTCTCTCTGGAATATGCAGGGAATGCCATTCTGGAAAGGTAAGTTTAAATAAGGTAAGGTAAAGGTAAAGGCCCTCCCGTTGATCGTCGATTTGCTCGAGCGGGCCCAGTAACGTCTCCATTGGAGACTTTTGTTGTTACTGTGTCTGGCATATCGAATACTCTCGGTAGCTTGCCGGGCTCTCCGAGAGGGGCGGAGGAATCGAACTCGGGTAGGCCATATTGGCCGTGTGTAAGGCAAACGCCCTACCCGCTTTATGTCACACTCAAGATCTTAGGGCCAGCCACACGTTCTAGGTGAAAAGGAAGCTCAGATAGAGAAGAGAGCACCAAATGAAGGGTGTTGTGAGGACCCTCCCAGGGTGGGAGAAGCATGCTAAAAGTAGTCAATAGACCAAACATGATTGCCACTCAATGCCTCTCTTGCAAAACACAGTACCCAAAAGAAGAGAGAGAGAACAAGGGGGAATACCCTGCCACAGAGGCAGGATGGGACGGGGGGGATGGGGGGTAGGGGGGGATGCTGGGACCCGTGGTGATGGATGACGGGCACTGGTGGAGGGATGGGCACTTGATCATTGTATAACTGAAACCCAAGCACAAAATTTGTAAGCCTATAACTGTACCCCATGGTGTTTCACTAATAAAAAAAGAAAAAAAAAAGATCTTAGAAAAACACCGTTTTCTGGTATTTCCAAAGAGTATTTGGCACTGGGAATATTCATGGCAAATTGGGTTTTATTTTCTTTTGGGGCACACCTGGTGATGCTCAGAGGTAAATCTTGGTTCTGCACTCAAAAATTACTCTTGGTGGTACTAGGGTACCATACAGGGTACCAGGAATCAAGCCTGAGTTGTCTGCTTGCAGGGCAAGCACCCTACCCACTGTAATCTCTCCCTAGCCCCTCATAAATTGCTAACAAGACATTTGTTCCCAATTTTTTTCTTTTTTTGGGGGGGAGGGTCACACCCAGTGATGCACAAGGGTTACTCCTGGCTTTGCACTCAGGAATTACTCCTGGCAGTGGTCAGGAGACCATATGGGATGCTGGGAATCGAACCTGGGTAGGCTCCATGCAAGGCAAATGCCCTTCCCGCTGTACTACCGCTCCAGCCCCTGTTCCCAATTTTATTAAAAATATAACACAACATGTGTATATGCTCGTAGAAAAAAAATACCAGCTAGAAACACATCCTGTGAAGTGTTTGGAGTATTCTTATACCAAAAAACACTGTGCCCTGTTTATCTGAAATGAAAACATCATACTATCTGGCAGCCCGACACTAGGACCAGACAGCAGGTTTCTATACACTGATGTAGATTTTCCAACTAGCATTAGGTAGAAAGAAAATAAGTTTAAAATTACTTAATTTCATTACACATTTTCGGGGGTGGTGGTATACAAAGTCTTTCAAGCAGGCCTCCGGCTTGGGGCTCACATCCAGTGATACAGGATAGCTACATGTTTCCAGCAGTTATCCTGGCAATTACTGTATATCCAGTTCTTTTAAAAATATTAAAACTATTTTAAATAGCTATGTGGGGTACTATAAAGGATTATGCTATTCTTGTTTCTACCAAGAGTAATAAGCATTATTAAACACAGGAAAAGGGGAAGGTAGAGGAGTGAGAAGCAGCAAAACAAGGTTCGAAACAGTTTAAATATCAGTCACTGCTTAAGTACTCTGATTTTGGTTGTTTTTTTTGTTTTTAGTCACACCTGTCAGTGTTCAGGGGTTACTCCTAGCTCTGTACTCAGGAATCACTCCTGGCGGTGCTTGGGAAACCGTATTGGTTTGGCCACTTGCAAGGCAAGCACCCTACCCCCTATACTATCTCTCCAGCCCCAACACGCATTGCAATTTTAGGAAAATAGTGATGCCTTTAAAAGTCAGGTTGGATGGGGCCAGAGAGAGAATACAGTGGGTCAGGAGCTTCTGCACACAGCTGACCCAGGATTGATCTCCAATACCACATATAGGTCCCCTAATTCCCTTAATTTAGCACAAGCCCTGAGCACTGTTAGGTGGCCCCCAAAGAAAACAAAAGTAAAGTAAAAGTCAGGTCAAGGGTTGGGAAGATGGCTCAGAAGGCAAGCATATAGGTGGCAGCCCTGGGTTGGATCCCAAGCACCCTCCACCAAGCACTGCACTAGGAGTAACCAGCCCTTCCAAAATAAAACCCAAGAAAAGTCAGGTTAAATTCTAATATTTCTTGTGATAAATACTTCAGACACTAGAGCACTTTCCCAAAGTGATGGAGTAATTCCAACTCCTGGGGGGATGCTGGTGTTATTCAAAGAGGAGGCAGCAGCCTGGAGTGCAACTAGGGTGTGATTTCTTTTTGTTTGCTAAAAGACAGTAAATCGGGAAAGGTGTAGTTTTTGAGAAGTGGGCAGGAGGACAAGCAAGTCTGGAAACCTCTTCGTCTATGGCCATGGTTTAAACAACAGAAGTTCTTACCAGAAATTCATTTAAAGATTGTTCTTTTGGCAATGGCGTTTTCTGAAATTCTTTCAATGGTCTGTTTTATTAAGACAACTGAAAATATTTTATCTTAAAATTTGGGGGTTGAGGGCTGGGTAAATAATCAGGTAGGGCATTTGCCAATACATGCCCCAGGTTCCCTGAGCCTGCAAGAGTAATCCCTGATTGCAAAGCCAGGAGTAAGCCATAAGCACCTCCAGGTGTGGCCCCAAAACAAACAGAAAAAAATTGGGGAGCAAGCTGTAGAAACCAAGTGGTTAAGGGGCTGCCTGGCTTGCATGCAGCTGACTCAGATTTGATCCCTGGCATCATGGTCCTCCAAGCACTGCTAGGAGTCATCCCTGAGCACAGCCAGAAGTGGCCCCCAAATTCCGAGACTAAACGATGGGCTCAGTGGACGAATGTGTCTCTAGCAGGTGCGACGTTTTGAGCTCAGTCCCCAGCACTCCCCAGTGGAGTGTGACCCAGGCAGCTCTGCCATTATGTAGTCTCCAGCACAGCACAACCCAAGGTGGAAGCAGGTGGCCTAATGATAACGACAAAGGGAGGGGAAAGGAAAGAAAAGGGTTACTTTGCATATGACACCTTTGGGGAAAACAGTACCTCAACTACATCAAGTTCCACTGGAATAAACTTTTATTCATTCCAAGAGTTCGAAGAACTGACGTTTTTGAGTTTCCTACTGACCTGTTCAATAAAAAATTAAATAGTTGTGTTAGCTTTCATCCCCTTTCTGATCTTGGGGGATGATGTCTCCCCAACTCCTGTGAAAGTTCCTTGTGGACAGAATTTCTTTCTTCACAGCATCTATTTCCACCTTAAGTAAATAATAACTGATTTATCTCTTTAAAGGCAAAGTAGTAGTATTTAACTTTTGCATACTACCTACAAAGTTCAAATTGTCTCTTGTTGAAAAAGAACGAAGGTAAAAATTCTTACCCAGAAAGTAAAAAATGTCCAGTAATTTTCCCTTTTCTATTTTTTTTAATTAATTCATTCATGGGGGGGGTGTTGGATAATACCTGGCGATGCTCAAGGGTTACTCTTGGTCCTGCACCCAGGAATTACTTCTGGCGGTGCTTGGGGGACCATATGGGATGCTGGGAATTGAACATCAGTGGGTCATGTGCAAGGCAAACACACCACCTGATGTATTATTGCTCCGCTCCCCCTTTTTCTTTTTTAAAATGTTTGCTACCAACTCCTTTGGTCAGAACCCTGATGATTTTGTTATTTCCTGTACTTTAGTTAAATGCCTTCCCTTTGAGGCTGTTACCCATGACAGGGACTGCACATATACCTGGCTGTGGTGCCTGCCAGATGTCACTGAGGGATTGCAGCCTGGTGCTAAATGAGGCTTATGCTGCCTCGGTTGTGCCTGCACAGTGTGGCGCTCACTGCGGGTTGCTGCAGTCACGGTCCTCCCGTTGTTCATCGATTTGCTCGAACGGGCCCAGTAACGTCTCCATTGGAGACTTTGTTGTTACTGTGTTTGGCATATCGAATACGTCACGGGGAGCTTGCCAGGCTCTGCAGTGCGGGCGAGATACTCTCGGTAGCTTGCCGGGCTCTCCGAGAGGGGCGGAGGAATCGAACTCGGGTCGGCCATGTTGGCTGCGTGCAAGGCAAACGCCCTACCGCTGTGCTATTGCTCCTTCCTTGCAGGTTGCTGCAGTGCCCATAAATGTGCAGACACATTAAGCCACTGGTCTCCCAGTGAAACTCTTCCTTTTTCTGGGGTGGTGGTTTGGGTGTGGTTCTTAGGTACTCCTAACTCTGTGCTCAGGGATCATTCCTGATGGTACTTGGGGGACCATATGGGGGTCCGGGGATCAAACCTGGGTCAGCCATAGTCCACCTTTCTTGCTGGACTATCTCGGGCTCTTTTTAGAGGCAGGGGGCCCACATCCGGCTGTGGTCAGGAATCACTCCTGGTGGGGGTTGAACCCGTATGCTATGCAAGGCCACCCTACCCACTGCACTATCGGTCTAGCCCTACTAAGACTCCCTTGAAAAACACTGTCCTACACTTTGTTCTAATAGATCAGGTTTACTTGAAAATTAAGACAAATTTCATACCATGTTAATGAGTATGATCATTAAAATTCCTGACTAAAAATATTAGCAGCGATGTAAAAATTTTCTTTTAGTAAACAAGTAAAATCCCTGTTAAACTGCAATATTTAAAGATGACAGTAGGGGCTGGAGCAATAGCACAGCAGGTAGGGCATTTGCCTTGCACGCAGATGACCTAGGTTCGATTCCCAGCATCCCATATGGTCCCCTGAGCACCGCCAGGAGTAATTCCTGTGCATCGCCGGGTATGACCCAAAAAATAAAAAATAAAAAAATAATAAAATAAAGATAACAGTAACAGTATCATCTTATGCCTCATACTTATGTAAAGGGGGAGGGAGTTTCCCCTTCTGCCCCCAAAAGAGGAAAATAATAAACCACTTGTT